TTGGCACGCCCACAGACAATGTAAGACCTATACATCTTTCACTCCATAATGAAGTGCTTTAACACACTGAAGAGGAAGAGCATGTTTCTAAACAGGATGCTCTCAAGGTACTGCTCCTAAGTTTGTACCCAAAAGGCAGACTGTGCTTACAGCTTACATTCACTGCACAGCCTTGAGGTTTGCCCGCCCCCCCCATCATGGGTTTCCATTCTCAAGTCAGTGAAATAAAAAGTAGCATGACGTATGTTATTTGCAAAAGCTGAATAAAAACCTGGAATGAGATCATGGTTTTCCAGTTAAATCCAGAACAGGTAGTTACCTTTAGAGTGTTTCTGTTGGGCTCTGGCAGAATCAGGATCAGGAGGTTTAGAGCTTGCAATCTTTGCTTCAGGTCTGGAATGTCTAGAGAGAGTGAGCGACAACAGGAGAAAGGAGTCAGGCTCCTAACAGTGTTCCTTCTGAGTATGGGAATCCCCCAAGGAATAAGGCAATTACTTATTGTAGTGTTTGTCATTTAGGATTTGAGACCTTTTTTTACAGAAGTAAATCAAGCTCATACAGCCCTTATGAAGTGAATTACCTATGTGTTAGAAGACTGGCTGATTTGTTTCAGAGTACATAGTCTACCAGCAAGTCTGATGCCCTTGAAGGGCATCAAAAGTCCCATTATTCCCCATTTCTTGTACAAAAAAAGTTGTGCGCTTAAACAGTTAGCTTAACATATTCAAGCTATTTGTCGAGGAAACCTCAAAATAAGGTGCTTGCAGAACATTGCATTCCCTGCAGACAAGCCAAGTCTGGGCACCCTGGCCAGTTGCCACAGCTCAACCTGCATGTCATTATTTATCAAGTTGTCCTAATTCACGGTAGCAACCTTGCAGCCTCAAATGACACAACATAATTTAAGCCTCCAGGGCAGCGTTCCTACACAAAGATGTATGCAACCAAGCACCAGTGACTAGACTCTCGGGCTGACACATAATAATACATATAGCACCCAGCACACTGAGTTTGGCTACAGTTCATCTTGTGCTCTGTATTCCCATTGAATCCACAGGCTCCCAACACACCTGACAGAAGAGCCCAAGACCAGCAGAAAAGCACAAACCAGCAAACTGATGCTAAACAGCCAAAGCAGGGACTCACTTTGTACAGCAGCAAAAGCAGGGAGGTACTCTGCTGTCAGCAGTGGGGCCGGCAGCTCTCTTATGAATCTTTTCAGTAGCCCAGATACATCATTCTGGTGGACTTCATCCCAGCGGAAAAGACCGGTATAGAAGTCCCTTTCTAGCTTCTGTTCCAGACTCTATAAAAAAAGATGGAATTTATTACACGCTTTAATAAGCAAATATAAGGGAAATTCTGTAGCTGAGCACTAAGAGAGCAACCCATCAAGTCAAAAGAGTGCAGAGACCCTCACAGCAGACACTCCCAGATTTCCCAGCATGGATTTTCTAGTTGTACTGGGAAGGGAGATGAAACAATCCAGGTTATTTAGATACTTGCTTCAGCCACATGCTCCCTAATCACATCCGATACTTTTGAACACTACTAAAGAGCTCATACCTTGATTCTGGTCTGGGACCCAGAAACTCTCAAAATGCCCTCTGTTTCAAGTCCTCGTTTTTCCAAGCAGGACAGCAGCTATTAAAAGAGGAAAAAAGAAAACTCTTAAGCACAGAGGATGAGAAGTCAGCCCTTCCTTATGACAGGCTTCCCACCTCTGAGGATCAGAAGTGCGAATAAAACCAGAAGGGAACTTACTGCCTGGAGTAACAGAGGGACCTTGGTGTTGGGGAGCAGCTTTTGGTCGTTTTCCAACAGGGTGTTGAGTGGAACTCCAAAGAGTCTTTTCTCTACAACAGAAAGAACATGTTATAAGTCTGTATCTCCACTAACACAGATGTCAGGGATATATCTATCACTGCAGACTAAGATGGCACATTTTATAAGTGTAGGTTCTGGAGAAAAAGAGAGGAACAGCTAACAGGACAACTGCATTTGACAGTCAGAGATAAATGTGGTGCTGGGTCTTGATGCTATGATCCAGTGACTTCCAGGAGAAATTCTGATCAAGGAAAAAACACCTGTCACAAGGTTTCTTATGAAGACCCTCTCTGTTCTAACATTTCAAACACAAACCTATGAGAAGATCAATGTAAAAAATGCACTCAAAAAAAAAAAATCAAGATGAAATACAACTCACCTGTTGTTTTCAGTTTTGCTCCCTTGTTTCTCTTCAGCTCAAAGCCCAGAACATCACAGAGAGCTGTTAGTTCAATCAGGGCCAGCGTGGGGATCTTCTTCATGTCCTGAGCAGATAGATCTCCAATCCTGGTCACTCCTAGTCTGCCTTTAGGGATCTTAAATTTCTAAGGGAAAACACACACACACAAGGTTCAGTGCAAGTATCATTACTAATCCCACAGATATCAAGTTTTGCTGCATTTTTATCATTCCTTACCATAACCAAGCATCTATTCATTCTCGTTTTCAACACCAGACAAATGCTGCAAACTACTTCTACTCAACCCACAGCTGAATAAATATTTTCCCTTTTCAGCATTGCTCTTTAACTGTATCAGAGATCCCAATTTATCTAAATTAAAGACAGCCTGATACCCACCCTAATCTACTTGAACTTTGGAAGCAGTCCAGTACCTTTGTGAGGAAGAAAACTGTTAGCATTACAAGTAAGAAAAGTCCAGTTATTCTCCTCTTTTCAATGACCCAGATTCAAATCAAAATAGCCAGTTGAACACACAAAAGTACTACTTCTTTTGACCCTTCACTACACAACAGTTATCCTTGCCCAAGACCGCAATAACTGCATTACCTGTACCTACCTAATATTCCAACGCTATCCATAGAGGACATTTCCAAGAGCTGATCATACAGTTGAATCAAATGTCTTGTACCCCTCTACACAAAAAGGGATAAGAAAAATTCCTTCAGTGCTTACAGTTAGGGCGTTTCCATCCTTTAACCTTCTAGATTCAGACAGGAACGATCCCTTAAGCAGGACAGCCGCTTGCTCCGAGTAGGCAACATCCATGTTGAACACCACCTCTTTTCCAGGGTTTCGAACTGTGCAGGAGTAATCCTGGGTTTCTGCTACAAAGGAGAAACTGTCTTGAATTTCAGAAAGCCAAAAGGATGAAGCTTAGAAAACAAGTGTGCTAGAAGAGCAGTTTGAGACAGATTTGGGGACCACCAAATAAAAAGCTATATTAACATTTGAAAAGAGTGCTGCCATAGCACAGTCCTGAGACTGATCAGTAGGGTAAGATTAGCTTAAAGCCACAACATTACAGCTACAATCACCAGATCACTGGTAAGACATAAGCATGGCCTTAAATTAAATGACATACCTATGGCTAACTTCTCTTTACACAATTGCGTATGGCATTTATGGGATTTCACCCTATGACCTTTGCTAGAGTGATTTTATTTGCATCTTCTAATTGCTTTCTTGAAAAGTTACAGTTATCAGTTTGAGCGGCCATTCCTAACAACACTAGAGCCTGGAAAAATTTACTAAATCCACAACTGTGGATAACCATGTATTTAAAAGAAAAAAAAAACACAAACAAGGCCAATGTTTCAGAGCCCAGATTAGTATAATTTCCCTTACAGTCCCAGCACTACTTCAGATCCCCTTCCAATCCTACTGTACATTTTAAAACTTCCTTCTTACTTCTCTGTACATTTGAAGTCCGTAGATTGTGCCACAACTGATCTGGGCTGGACTCCTCTTTCTCTGCTGCTGTCTCCTGAAAAATAAACCAGAACATGTTTACCTACAGAAAACAGAAGTTATTATAAGACAACTCAATTTTGGCGGGGGGGG